AGCCCCTCAGCGCCCGCATAGATTCGGCGTTGCGAAGGCTCTCCAGCTCATCCTCCTCCTCCTCTGAATCAAGACATATTGCAGCATCTGCTGCTGCTGCTGCTGCTGCTGTTGCTGCTGCTGCTGCTGCATCTGTTGCTGCAGACCCTGCTGAGGAAGCTTCTGAAGGGGGCCTCCGCTTCCTTCGGAGGCCCGTTGCTGCTGCTGCTGCTGTTGGTGCTGCTGCTGCTGCTGCTGAGCTGCTGGGAGCAGCAGCTGCTGCTGCTGCACCTGCTGCATCGGGCCCCCCTGCTTGTGGTCGATTGCTGCACGGAGACAAAGCAGCAGCAGCAGCAGCAGCAGCTAGAGCAGCAGCAGATTCAGCAGCAGTAGGGGCAGCAGCAAGGATAACTGTGTCGCTGAGGGTTTAGGGTTTAGGGTTTAGGGTTTGGGGTCCAGCTGCAGCAGAGCGCATCCTTACCAGCTGCTGCACTGCAGCGAATCCAACGCCTTCTGCAACCTGAAACAAACAGCAGCAGCAGCAGCAGCAGCAAGCAGCAGCAGCAGCAGCAGCAAACAGCAGCAGCAGCAAGCAGCAGCAGCAGCAAGCAGCAGCAGCAGCAAGCAGCAGCAGCAGCAAGCAGCAGCAGCAGCAAACAGCAGCAGCAGCAGTTTCACAAGACACAAACCAATAGCTGAGGGCCCCTTAAACCCTGGGGGATACAAACCCTCCTAAACCCTAAACCCTAAACCCTAATCCTTCAAGCCGTGAGGGCCCCTGGGGTTTTCCCACTGACGCCCGCATCAATACCCCTAAACCCGAGAAAGAAAAACGGAGGGTTTAGGGTTTACAGCTACGGGCCTAGGGTTTAGGGTTTACCGCCAAGGGTTTAGGGTTAGTAGCCCATAGTCGAGGGTTTAGGGTTTACGGTTAAGGGTTTAGGGTTTTAGGGTTTAGGGTTTTGCTTTTGGCGTTTAGGGTTTGGATCAAGGGATTAGGGTTTACGGTTTGGAGCTTAATGCTTAGGGTTTAGGGTTTAGGGTTTAGGGTTTAGGGTTTGGGGTTTAGGGTTTGGGGTTTAGGGTTTACTCGTGCAGGCGTTTTCTG